GTATGTGTGTAAAGGCAGCGACCAACAGCAAACAAATATTGAGTACAAAGTCCACAGCCGGCTCGCACTGCTGCAGCTGACGTCACTTGCTGAGGCAGAGGAGCGTCTCAGTTACTTTAATCGAGCATCGATCGTATGGCACTTGTTCGCTTCTCTGCCTTCGATTTGTTTGTACCGTTCATAATATTTTCAATTATGGCGATTTATCAACAACCACAACAAACGGAGAGCGGCAAACGACAAGCGACAGACGACAAACGGCATACAGCAAATGCCAAAGACACCAAAAAACAAACACAACATACATATAAGCAAAAGCAAAACCAAAACCAAAAGCATCATGAGCGATCGCTAAGAGCAACAACAAAAACAGCATTAACACTCACGCAGTGTGTGCGAGTCCAAAGTCCAAACGGCATTTCAGAGACCCGAGTCCAAAGTCCAACTCGATTGCAATGGTCGGGTTTTCTGCTCATCCGGCCAGCATGTTGTGCGAGTCATAGCCCCCCCTCCACCGCAAACAACCCATACCTTCCACAACTATACTTTACACTCGTTTACAATTTTGTTTGTGTTTGCTCTTGCTGTGGCTGCTGCTGCTGCTGCTGAGAGCGAGACGATGACTCTGTTACTCTCTTTTGCTTGCTCCGTATTGTTTACCTTCTGTGAATGCTTGTAATGTTGTTCGTCTGTCTCTCTTGCTTCCTCTCTCGCTCTCTCTGTTGACTGTGGCTCTCTTAAGATTTGGGCTCTTGAAACTCTTAAAGCATGCGGCCGCACGTCTGTTGATTGCATGTAAAAAAGTTAATAACTTGAAAGCAGCAGCGACTGTTGCTGCTGTTGCTGCTGTTGTTGATTTAACGGACTAAATAAAAAAACACAGAGACAGCAACAAACAAGCATTTTATGGTATTTATATACACAAATGTATATACATATATATACATACATCCGTATATATACATACGTATGTATTACGAAATGCAATAAATGCCAAAATGTGACTGTGACGGCCCCGTGGGGCAATATTTTCATTTCAATTTGTGTCACCTTCGGGGCACTGTTCAATTTTCGAATTTGATAGGAATCACTGCAGCTGCTGCTACTTCTGTATAGCTGCTGTTGACGTCATACGCCCACTCAGTGGGCGTGGCTGTGTACAATCTTGGTACAAATTTTACACAAATTATATGCATCTTTTGTTATCTCGGCCTCCTTAACCACAATTCCAGTCACAAACAGAAATACAGACACACACATTCACAGCATTACATATGTACAGTAGCATACATACATATACACACAGATGTCACCGGCTTTTGTTAAGAGAGGAAAAAAAAAATAAGTTCACGTTTCGCATTTGCCTTTGATACGATTCGCATTTTATTTAATTTTAGCGAAACGAAACGAACAAAATACACAACTTGTGGACTTTGCACCTACGTTAGCGCCGTCGCCGTCGGCGTCGCAGTCGACGCTATTGTATTGAATGGATTTAGCATTTTGCTAGTTGCCACGTTTCGCGCTTAAAAAAATTCGTGTAAAAATAAACATAACACTGCAAAATGCTTTATAATTGTATGTAGTACATAGAAATAAACGAGGCACAGAGGCTAAAGATTTAAGCAGACATTAAATACCAGAAATTTTCTACATTTTATTGAATTTTCATTTAGAACATTTTCGCTGTGAACGGAGCAGCTATAAATAAAACAAATTCGCATATTTTTAAATGTAAATACATACATATGCATTAATGTGTGTTTGTGTGAGTGTGTGTTGCTTTCCTTAAGACACGCGGCGAATTTGAACATTTGAACATCAATTTGAATTCGCCGTAAACTGGTATGCAAATGAAGCGAAGCTTTAACTGTTTGCTAAACAGGAAACGCCTCAAAGTGCTAACAAAATATATACTAAATAAGTAAAAAATATATATTTTAATTGTATAAAACCAGGCTAATATACTCAAGTCATTAAAACTGTGATTTAAACCTAATTCAAATTCTCTTAATGTTAACATGAATCATTATTATTTTATTTATGGGTATTTTGATCTGGGATTTTTCAAAGTAACGACGATTAACTCTCAATTACAATTTTCATTTGTGGCAAATTTTCCAATCAAAAGTTCAGTCATTCAGTTAACGATTCATCGTGAATGCAACTTCAACAATCAACTAATTAAGCTGCCAAATGCCGTTGACAGTTGCCTTGCGGTGACTGAGACAGAGGCAGAGGCAGAGATTGTATCTTACTGGCGAATGCAATTAATTAAACATAATCCAGTTAGCAGATCGATTTACATGCAGCTTCACTTGGCAAGCGACGGCGCACAGTGGTTGCGCTTGTATGGGAGAGCGGCCAAAAGTACTTCTAGTGGAGATAAAATGATGAAATTTTTTCCGAAATTCTATAAAAATATAATAAGTAATATAACATGCCTAAATAAGTCGTATAGCCCACCAACACCCTACACCAATACGTAACCTCAA